TATAGTTGTTTATGACTGTGAGAAGTGAAAACTGTATATACAGGGGAGATGAATGGTTGTAGACTACGAGGCAGACCAAGAAGATGATGGAGAGATAATGTTCCAGACAGACCTACAACTGGAAAGAGAAGACCAACAAGAGAGATAAATGGAAGCGGATGATATCTGGTGCAAATCAACACACTGCTGAAGAAGAGAAGATATGACCTTATATCCTGTGGGTTCAATGTCTCCACTGAGATCCCTGTCCTTTTTTGGTTGTCCATCTTTTCCTTTTGTATGATCCTGAAATAGGTCAGTCCTAGTAAGGCTACAGTGTGTGCTCTGGGCGTCCCAGGTCAGAACTAAGGCTATCACCAATACCATTATGCACAGACTAATCATTCTGTTTTTAAAAGTTACACTTCTACCAAGTACTCTTATGCTAAGGCTGTCACCAATACCATTATGCACAGACTAATCATTCTGTTTTTAAAAGTAACACTTCTACCAAGTACTTCTGCCAAGTACTTTATGCTAAGGCTTCCAAAAAGTTACACTTCTACCAATAACTCTTATGCTGTCACATACCATTATGCACAGACTAATCATTGTTTCAAAAAGTTACACTTCTACCAAGTACTCTTATGTAAGGCTGTCACCAATACCATTATGCACACTAACATTGTTTCAAAAAGTTACTTTATCAAGTTGCTTGTCACCAAACTTCTCATGTTTACACTTCTACCAAGTACGCTTATGCTAAGGCTATAACCAATACCATTATGCACAGACTAATCATTGTTTCAAAAAGTTACACTTCTACCAAGTACTCTTATGCTAAGGCTATCACCAATACCATTATGCACAGACTAATCATTGTTTAAAAAAGTTACACTTCTACCAAGTACTCTTATGCTAAGGCTGTCACCAATACCATTATGCACAGACTAATCATTGTTTCAAAAAGTTACACTTCTACCAAGTACTCTTATGCTAAGGCTATCACCAATACCATTATGCACAGACTAATCATTCTGTTTTTAAAAGTTACACATTTATCTACCCAGTATTCTTATGGTTAAGGCTGTTACCAGTACAACTATGCACACACTTCTTCTTCTTCAGCGATCTCTGGTCATGCACATAATCCACTGTTGGCCATAAACTGGGATGTCCTCTCAAGGTCTCTTAGGTTTCCCCAAAGATTAGTTGTCAGGTCTACTGGGTGTTGCCATTTGTTGCTCCGCCAAGAGAGGACAGTCTTGCAGGACATGTTCTGGAGTCTGTTCAGCACAAAGACACTGGCAGAGAGCTGTTTGGTTCATACCTAATTTATATGAGTGCAGTGTCCAGTGCGTAAGCGAAAAATGTACACACCAACCATACTGTTTAAAAAAATTACACATACCCAGTCCGCTTAAACTATTTACCGGCATGTGAAGGAAAGGGGGGGGGGGATAAGCAAGGGGACAGAAAACAGTGTGTGGTGGAGGGGGATTGCAAATTGATTAAGAACTGGGCGTCCAAGAAGAAGCATATAAAATACCCATAATAGAAACAATGGTTGTGAAATCCCAGGCTCTAACTGTAGAAGACTTTTTAATGCAAGTGGGTCTTACTATCATACTCGCCACTGCTAAAGGTGGGGATTTCCATGCCACCCAAAACACAAAGGAACACTTCTTCTTTCATTGATTCGGGTGTCAAGGAAGATATTAGGTTCTGTTTCTTGCCCTACTTACTCTCAGGAGAAGCTGCTGCTGCTGCTGCTTCTTTTACCTGCTATCTCCTGCAAAGTGTATGCCTACAACAAGCTCATAACAAGGCCTTTGTAGACATGTTTCAGCAGAATTACTGACAACTCTAAGACTAAACTGTTGAATGTTGAATTAAGAATAGACATCATAGCACTCTGGACACTTCCATGAGCGCTCCATCCCCATCTTCAGCAGCAAACACAGAGGGTTCCGATTCTGATGGCACCAGTAACTGATTGTATATCCATCTCCCCCTTCCCTTGAGTGTTGAGCATCGGCCAGATTCCCTGACCACTCCTCGCGGTGCCATTCTCCTCAGACAGTAATGATCTAAAAAGGTGAAGGTAAAGTCGGGAGATGTGAACAAGCGTCATTGCACCCAGTTATAAACCATAAGTGCTCTGCCACCAGTACGGATAGCTGATTAGAAACTGTCACAGTCCACATGCAACTCCGTAGCTACAGCGACGTTCCTCCATTTACACCAGTGTTAACTCTGGTACCCATTACCTAGAGGCTGGGTGAACCCTGGAAACCGCCCGGTTTCTAACACCAGCCGTGTTCGCAGCTGGATTTAAAAGTAAGTCTCCTATTGATTGCACTAACACGGCCCCATAATGATCTATTTGCACTTAAACAATTAACTAAACTATTAACAACATTAAAGTTAAAATTAGAGACAATAGTAAATTTAAAATAATGACAACATTAATGCTCAATTACTAACACCATTATGATTAAATAATGACATAATTATGGCTAAACTATTGACAACATAAAGAATAATTAATTGAAAAAATTAATGTACAATTTCTGACATATTAAGGCTAAATTAATGTTAATGGTGAAGTTAATTTACTGACAACATTTAGGCTTGTTATTTGACTTGTTATTAAAAATAAATCTGACCTTGAGGGAAAGAACTTCTTCCTCCTGCACAGACTGAACTGGCATATTGTGTAGCAGTGGGTTTCCCTCACAGTACAGCTCTCTGAGTGGCAGCCTTGCCAGCTGGTACAAACACAAAAATTTTTTATTCTCTGACTTGTATTTTTGATGACAGTGGGTGAACAACGAAAACTTTCCGAAGAAGAATTTTTGTTAGTTCCTTTTGTCTGGACAGGTGTGTGTAACGGTTGTGTAAGAAGTGTATAGATATTTTTGTGTATATTTGTTGTGTATATTTGTTGTGTATATTTGTTGTGTATATTTGTTGTGTATATTTGTTGTGTATGTTTGTTGTGTATATTTGTTGTGTGTATGTTATTTGAACATGAGCTTACTGAAGAGCGGGACCATAGTATAATGAGAATGAACAAACAAACTTCATTTTAAAAGAGTCATAGATTGGATGTGGCGACACTCATCTTTCTTGCATTAAAGTCAGTATATATATAATGTAGGTTATGTTCTTATAGACAAAATTACATAAAAGTTTTTGGTAACGACATAATTCATGGTTGGAAAATGTATACATTTAAATGCACACACACACAGAGTATTTTTTCCTTACTTATATCTCCCTTGCCCTCTTCCTACTTTTCTCATATTTCTCTCCTTTTCTTTTCATATAAAATTGTGTGCCACATGTGTTAAAATATGTACAACACAGCTGTGGCATCTAGACTTTGTAGATACAGTCATATGAGTGCCATCTGTACAAAACTACATCAAGAGACAACATGTCAAGACCATCTCCTGACAGTGCACCACAGAGAGCTCTGTCACTTGGACATAACAGAAGCACTAGAGGTCAACCACACAAGCAATGGATAGATGGTATATCCAAGGACATAAACACCAGCAGCTATGTAGCACATATTTAAAGCTCTCACCCGATGCCTGTTCAATATCTGACACTGAAAGGCAATACAGGACTAGAGAAGAAACAGATATGTTTTTTCCTGGGTCTGCCCATTGCTTCCCACCTTCAAGGTGATTAGGGATTAGAAAGGATGATTATCACTGCACTGTGGACAGATCCATAGGTGCTCCGATCTCCTCTTCACAAGCTCCACAAGTGCAGAATGACTGATAACCCCTGTTCTGTGTTGGTTAATGAAACGTCTTGTCCCCTTAGTAAAATTGTCATTTTTGCAGCTCCAGGCTGCACACCCATGTCCATCAGTCTAGACAGGGATATGGAGTCGTGTCCTTTGGCATGCCCCTCGTTACGGTGAGTGCAGCGCATGGCATTGATAACACCTTCAAGGCAGTAAGCATTTTCACATGAGATTTTCTTCTCTATAGTGAATTCATTTCCACAGGGGATGATCATTCCTGTGGTCACAACGTGTTTCCGTTTCCTTTTTCTCATAATATCACCAAATATGTATGCCTGTCTTCTCCTGATGTTTGTGATAAGTTGTTTTTGAGCTCTCACCTCTTTTAAAACATCTGGGATACTCAATTCTTCTGTAAAACCACATCTCCAAGGCCTCAAGAAATAGTTTAGCTTGTTTATTAATTGTCAAGGATTCACAGTCTCATTTTAAAACTAGCTCTATAAGAATACCATTTATAATAAGCTAGTCGCAATGCATATATGGTTGTTAGGATGTATTTTCGGCTACAGCATATGAGAGTTAGGGCAATGAAGTATCCAACCTTTGAATATTCTAGGCTACAACATATGAGAGTTGGGGAATGAAGTATCCAGCCTTTGAATATTCTAGGCTACAACATATGAGAGCTGGGGTGTGAAGTATCCAGCCTTAACATATTCTAGGCTACAACATATGAGAGTTGGGGAATGAAGTATTCAGCCTTTGAATATTCTAGGCTACAACATATGAGAGTTCGGGAATGAAGTAATCCAGCCTTCACATATTCTAGGCTACAACATATGAGAGTTAGGGTGTAAAGTATTCTGCCGTCACATATTCTAGGCTACAACATATCAGAGTTGGGGTGTCAAGTATTCAGCCTTCACATATTCTAGGCTACAACATATGAGAGTTGCTGTGAGCTTTTCATTAGAAAAAAGGGATGAAGCGGCTATGGGGAGACCATTTGCTATGAAGTTGCAACTGCGAATACTTAATTACGGTGAAAAATATGGACAAAGTAAGCTGATTTGGCAACTGGATGAGCAAAATACAGCTGGCACTGGATAGGGCATAAAGAACACATGATGTGTCAAGACTGTCGGTCTGGGTTTCACCTTCATTGTAAATGGTTCACCCCATTAATAATCCATTCCTATGCCAGGGAACAGTTGCAGGTGATAACTAAAATTAAAAAACCTAGACCCATGCTCACCTCTGTTGGAAATATTCTGATTTCATTTGCTGCCACATCCAGATATCTAAGCCTGTAGCATTTGCTCAGTCCCTTGACGTTGAAACATACAAATAAATATTCATCTATCTCTGCAACGATTAAATACTCGCTACTGCAGGTGAACTAAAAATAAAGGATCCTTTTTTATGCCAGTGATGCACTGGACGTAAAATGCTGGAAATATTTTTAAGACGGAATGTCACAATTTGAAAGAAACCAAATATAGCTAGCTATAGAGAGGAGACACCAGAGAGGAAATCAGCCTCGTAGCGAGAGAATATCGTAGCAAGGGAGTATCTTAGTGAGGGAGTACTCTAGTGAGGGAGTTTCTTAGCGAGGGAGTATCTTAGCGAGGGAGTATCTTAGTGAGAGAGTATCTACTGTTTTCGTGTATCCTATGTGGCAGAGACTGCCACTCCCACATCAGACTTTACAGTCACAATTATTGGCTGGAGAGAATGATGCACCTGGGTGTGACCAGAGGGTGGCACACTGTGCTCAGAGGAAAGGCAAGACGGACATACAACCAGACTATGACTGGCACCATTAGTATTGGAACTCTGCGCTGGCTGCTGAGGATGGCGAGGGAGCACATATGGTACTGCCCCGAGTGCTGTGATGTCAATTCTTAACTCGACTCAACTTTACAGTAACAGCAGATGCTGTTGCCAAAGCCAGTGGCACATCTTCCCAGTCCCCAGGGTCTGATGGATGCCATTACAAGACAGATAAGAAACGGATAGGTGATGTGACTAACTTCATGCCGGCCACTTTTACTTCCCAGGACAATACCTGTTATACATTTTAGGATGGGTCAACCTGTGTGCCAAGAGAGATTTTTTTTAAACATCCGTCTGGAAGGAGATCTGAGCCCAAGACCTGAGGTAGGGATGGAAAGGGGGAGGGTGGAGGGGATAGACACACTGTCTCTTTTTCAAGCAAATTTTGTAAAAGATGCTAATTGGGAATTTTTCATAGGATCAGAGCGCATCTGCCTGAGAAGCGAAGAACCAACAGTTTGCATGCAAATATGTAAAATTAGTGTGCACGCAAAATTCCTGTTCTAGAATCAGACCAAATTCTACAAGTGGATGAACAACCAGAACTTCCTGCAGGATTATATTTTAGTCATCCCCCTGTGGGCTGCCATTTTTCGTTATTTTGAAGCCCCACCTTAGCTCTTGTCAGGGGAGGCAATATAGCCCGGCCATGAATATGGTCTAATGGCTAAACGCGATTTCTGGGACCTCTCCACGGGTGATCCTCATCCACATGGTGGCACTTTGTATCATCAGGTGTTTATCGCTTGTGTAATGTCCTAGTGGGGTAAAATGTACTACTACTACTACTACCTGCCAGATTTGACAGCTGCTGAACGCTAACAAGAGGAGGGAGAATACCACAAGGTGTCTATCAAAGTAGCACTAGGAAAAATTATGCCTAAAAATGTTGCCAGTACTGTGTACTGTTGCAATCTGCCAGAATTTTTTTTTCAGTAGGATACTGTTGGGATATTATTTCGAAGCACCGAATTTAACAAGTATATTCTCATGCCTAGGGTACTTGGATCAAGTCAGACATTTTTAGAGGTCAATCAATAAAACATTCAATATCATGCTGACTGACTTTACTTCTGAGATTATTTCCTAGTTAAGTAAGAGTTGTGTATCCTTTACAAGATGTTGCAGAACCAACCCCAGCCTTTTGTGTGTGTGGCTGTTGTGGTTTATTTTCTTTTTTAAGGCAAATTTTACGTTCAGTCATTTGACATTGCTTTCTGATCAGTCAGTTCTCGGTACCATTGTCAAAACCAACTCAAGGTGTTCTGATGCCAAATCACCTGCAGCTGGGATCGAACCCGGTATCTTCTAGTACAAATGTTTTTATATATTGCTGGAATACAAATGTTTTTATATATTGCTGGAAATGTCCTAATACCAGTGTGTGTGTTTTTTTGTTTATTTTTTAGGGTTGATTTGAGAATCAAGGCATGCTGAGACTTCAGATAATAAATTACTAGATTATACATTACATTTACAGCACTTCTTTAAAAAAATTAAGACATAGAAACAGATAAATGACATAACAAAGTTACCTCTGGTAGTTCTCTAATTTTGTTCTTTTGTAAGCATAATTTTTGGAGCCCAGTCAGGTAACCAATCTCTAGAGGAAGTGAAGTCAGTTTATTCCCAGCTATATAAAGCTCTTGTAATGTGCTCAGCGTGCAGAATTCCACCGGCAATTCTGTTATCTGGTTGTTGTCAAGGGACAAATGTCGGAGACTGGTGAGTCTGAGAAAACAAACATGTAAAAGAAAACAACTGTAGTGAGTCTGAGAAAACAAACATGTAAAGAAAAACAACTCTATTGAGTCTGAGAAAACAAACATGCAAAAGAAAACAACTCTATTGAGTCTGAGAAAACAAACATGTAAAAGAAAACAACTTTATTAAGTCTGAGAAAACAAACATGTACAAGAAAACAACTGTAGCAAGTCTGAGAAAAAAACATGTAAAAGAAAACAACTCTGTTGAGTCTGAGAAAACAAACATGTAAAAGAAAACAACTCTACTGAGTCTGAGAAAACAAATGTAAAAGAAATCAACTCTACTGAGTCTGAGAAAACAAACACGTAAAAGGAAAACAACTCTATTAGCAACAGACAGCTGAAAACACTGATCTAGTCTGAATAAAAACTTTATTCATTACTTTTTTTTTAAATTTAAAACATTTGAAAAAAGTTATGAGTGATGTAGTCTGTTTAATGCCAGCCAGGGCATTTTCTGGCAGCCTTTTTAGACTGGGTCAACCAGGCTGGAACTAATTTATCATTTGCAGCAAGGACTGCTGGTCTAGTGACCTGAAACTAATGCATTTCTTTTCATCTGCACAGAAGTGAACAATTAGTGTTCACAGCTTATGTAACACTAACAATAATCATTATATCTTTTGTTTTAAGGCTTATGGAGTCTCTAAGGTAGAGTGGTCAAACTGTTTGCCTCATGCTCTGAGGGGCGTTGGTTTGTTTCACAGATGTATCATACATTTATGCACCCGTAGCTTCTCCCACTCACGTTTCTTCCGAGAACTAGTTGGAATGATTTTTAAAAGTAGTCTTAAAAACAGAGTACTGAATTATGTTAACAACCTTGTATTACAATGACGGCTGACAACATTTTAAAGATGAACAAATGTAGTTCTGTAATTATTGGCTTACTTGCATATTTCTGCAGGTAATTTCTGCAACTTGTTTCCATTTAAATTCAAAAATAACAAATGCTGGAATCCATCTGTAATAAATGTCAGCATAAGCATTATTTAAAGATTATTCGTAGATAAGGTAAGGCTGCTGACAAGCAGCATATTAATGATAAATTATGTAGAAGCTGCATAGATGTGTTTTAAAGAAGAATTATGAGAACATTGTGGACATATAAAAAGCATAATGAAGATGCTTTGAAAGAACTTAATTCAGAGATAACTGGCTACTTTGGAAAACACGAATAGCCTATGGCAGAGATTCCCAAACTGTGTGGCATTGCGCGGCGCCCTGAGAAGCCGCGACCTCTTCACAGGGGCGCCGTGAAATATTGTAAAAGCTTAATAATTAATTTAACCAAGACACAAATAGTCATACTTTTAGTTAGATTGGGGGGCTATGGAAACATTTTAACTGAAAAAAAGGCGCCGCCACCAAGACAAGTTTGGGAAACACTGGCCTATGGAGTTAGTCAACATCTAGTAAACATATGCAAATTATATGTTACAACAGCCAAGGTGTAGTGAGATCAAATGAACAAAAAAATAAGTTCCATTTCCAATCCAGAATCAGTCAGGGTTATGTTCAATTCTCCACCAACCACCTTCCCCTCTTTCCAAAGAGTATCATTCATTACAGCATTTTTACCAAAATTGTGTTATCTACGACAAATCCTAAATGTAAATAGAAGAGACAGGATCAGAAATTACAACATCAGAAATAAGGTGGGATAGAAGCAGTATTAAACTACATCAAGAGGCAACAGATGAAATGGGTTAGACATGTGTCAAGTCTTCCACCAGACAGTGCACCGTAGAGAGATCTGGCTACCTGCACCAGAATAAGTCAATCCACAAATCAGACAAACTACATCTTACATCTGAAGTTCGTGTGCTTAGGTATTTGAATTACGGTACATCGCCTAAATTAATAACAAATGACTATATGAGGAGCAGCTGTCAGAATGGTTAGAATGCCGGGTTCAAATCCTTGGTAAGGCTGAGGATCTTTCTGTGCCTGAGGCAAATATAAAATTCTCATCTGCACAGCCCTTGGCATCAGCAATAGCCATGCTGTCATAAATCCTCCGGCTCAAAGACCCCCATGCCTACACCGCAAAAGTGGCAGAGTTGGCAGGTCAAATTTATTGTAGATTTATTTGATTTTACCATTACATTTTCTTCCTATTAATTCACCTGAGACCCATATTTTTCATTTTCTAAAATCCCCTAATCTTCTTTCATTTATAGCTCCTTCTGACTTGTTGCTGGAAATATTACATCAACAGCCTAATGTAAGTTATTTATAGCAGGATCATCAAAAACTCCTCTGAACCAAGATGTAAATAAGGGAACAAAACACAATATCTTACTAAGTTCAAGACTATGAATGTGAACTGGTATGTAACTAAAGGGACAGAATGAAGCATTTCACTAAATGAATTGCCATGGATACAAAGATGCAGAACCACATGTAGTGGTGTACAAGAACCGGAGCCAATACTTCTTCTGCGTTCCGAGTCCTTGAGATTCACTGCTGCAGATATCACCTGGCCTCCACTCATCTCTCTGGTTGGCCTTCTCTTTTCAGTTGGTAAGACCAAGAGTTCGCAAGTCTCTCTGGACATTATCTCTTCATTGTCTTCTTGGTCTGCTTCGTGGTCTACAACCATTTATCTTCCTTGTGCATACAAGGAACCAATACCAGTTGAGACATATCTACACTATATGGTCATCCTAGTAACAGGTTGCCAACAGGGATGGAGGTGGAGGGCTTGGCTAACATAGATAGAATCAATGTTCCCTCTGAAGTTGGCGTGCATCTGCCTGATAAGCAAGGAACCAACAACCTGCACAAACATAAAGCCAGATCTGTCAAACAGATGTGCATGTAAAACTCAGGTCGTGGAACAAGTTCAAAGTCCTGAAGTAGATAAATAACCAGAACTTTTTGCTGCAGTTTACACCTGGGCAACTCTAAGAAATGAAGTCAGATGTAACTGTGGAGATATCGCACAATATATTACTGAGTGCATGAATGTTAATATAAACTAAGATGTAACTGTGGAGATATCGCACAATATATTACTAAGTGCATGAATGTTAATATAAACTAAGATGTAACTGTGGAGATATCGCACAATATATTACTAAGTGCATGAATGTTAATATAAACTAAGATGTAACTGTGGAGATATCGCACAATAAATTACTAAGTGCATGAATGTTAATATAAACTAAGATGTGACTGTGGAGACACCACACAATATATTACTAAGTGCGTGAATATTAATATAAACTAAGATGTAACTGTGGGGACACCACACAATATATTACTAAGTGCTTGAATGTTAATATAAACTAAGATGTAACTGTGGAGATATCGCACAATATATTACTAAGTGCATACATGTTAATATGAACTAAGATGTAACTGTGGGGACGCCACACAATATATTACTAAGTGAATGAATGTTAATATGAAATAAGATGTAACTGTGGGGACACCACACAATATATTTCTAAATGCATAAATGTTAACATGAACTAAGATGTAACCGTGGAGACACCACACAATATATTACTAAGTGCATAAATGTTAACATGAACTAAGATGTAACTGTGGGGACACCACACAATATATTACTAAGTGCATAAATGTTAATATGAACTAAGATGTAACTGTGGGGACACCACACAATATATTACTAAGTGCATAAATGTTAACATGAACTAAGATGTAACTGTGGGGACACCACACAATATATTACTAAGTGCCTGAAAGTTAATATAAACTAAGATGTAACTACATGTAAGGGAACAAAACACAGTATCTTACTAAATGCATGACTGTCGATGTGCATTATTTTATTCCCAAACAAATGCAGCTTCTCTAGACTATGCAGGTGTTGAAGGACACAGGGGAACTCCTCCAGTTCATTGTTTCCAAGGTTGAGTACTTGCAACTGAAATATAAACACATGAAAATGAGTGGTTGGTTGAGTACTTGCAACTGAAATATACAAACATGAAAATGACTGGTTGGTTGAGTACTTGCAACTGAAATATAAACACATGAAAATGACTGGTTGGTTGAGTACTTGCAACTGAAATATAAACACATGAAAATGACTGGTTGGTTGAGTACTTGCAACTGAAATATACAAACATGAAAATGACTGGTTGGTTGAGTACTTGCAACTGAAATATACAAACATGAAAATGACTGGTTGGTTGTTTAGTATTTCCTCAGGAAGACTGATTTTAACTCGCATTGAAACCTGGCCGCTTATTCATCTTGAGCAACCCCATTCCCCTCCCCCTTTTTTTTTCTTCCAAGAAAAACAATTATGAGGGGAGGGGGAGGCTGAGCTCTCCACAAAATATGTGTGTGTGGGGGGGGGGGGGGAGGCTGAGCTCTCCACAAAATATGTGTGTGTGTGTGTGTGGGGGGGGGGAGGCTGAGCTCTCCACAAAATATGTGTGTATGGGGGGGGGGGGGGGGGTCAAAGCCCAGCACCCATTCACCAAATTTATATTTTCATGTTTTTGTTTATGCATATCATATCATTTCATATTAAATAGAATATCATATTTATTACCCATTTATCATGTTGTTATTGTTGTAAAGCACTTACTTAATGATTTGACAGAAGATACGAGATAAGGTAAAATAACATGGGCAAAAATGTATGAATGAGGAATTATGTGTGGATCCAGCAAGGATGGACGGACGAGAGGAAAATTGTGGCGTGTATATAATTAGTGTGTTATGGGAACAGTTAGCATCCACACCTTACGTCATTTGCTACGGGAGATGGAGCATCTATGGATATGCCTGGTGTGTTATGATGTCAATTCTTAAATCAGTAATCAGCAAGGCCCCTTGAGAACCTTCGCCCTCTAAATAAAATCTGTAGGAAGATGAATTTGACCAAATATCCTGTTAGCATTATAATGTTACACTGTGTATGTATTCTATCGCTTGGCTTACGGTACTCGAATAATATTAGTAATATGATTATTATATATTATTTATACATTATTAGATATTATTATTATGTAACTTGTATTAGGTATATTAGCATTTCTCTCACTCTAACACACTGTCTCACCTACTCTCTCTCTCTCTCTCTCTCTCTCTCTCTCTCTCTCTCTCTGTGGTGTTGATGCTAACTCACTGTTCCTGTAGCATGCTGACTATACACACTTACTCCATTTTTAGGGTCCACAAGCAATATGAAGAATTGCCAATATGGTCGTGGGCCATATAGAAAAATTCCATTATAATCCTAACACGTTTTAATATTATTTAATTTATTATTATTACATATTAAAATGTCAATATATTAATATCTTACCCGGTTAAGAAGGCAAAGTTCTTCTGGTAGAGACTTTAATTTATTATTCTTTAATTGCAGTTGACAAACTTTGTCTAATTTACCAATAGCTTTTGGGACTTTCTCTAGATTCTTATTACAAAGAGTCAATATTTTAGGCTGTTTTTTTCAACGCGTGAAAAATTAAGGTATCCGCCATGTTGTATATTGTTACTATAGAGATTTGCTCAAAAGCAGAGCTATATACTGTATTTTCGTATTTGGCAATACGAGAACTCGTTAATACAACACTTGTAATTAACATCCTTAAGCTGTGCAATATTCTTCTTCTTCTTCTTTTCTTCTTCTCTTCCACCGTGTACCTCAGCGAAGTGTCGGGGGAGATGTAACATGCGTTAATGAGCTCTGTCAAAAGCACTATGAAGACATGTTCATTTCTGTAAGGTTGTTCTGAACGCTCTCACTCCATATTTTCTGAGTTCTTCCACTCGCTCAATACTCATCGTAACGTTTTAGTGTGGCTCGCTGTGGCAGACAGTACAAGGGCATTCTTGTTAGGTGTCCAAACCACTCATCTGTCGTTCTTTGATAACTTGTAAGACTGGCTTTATTCCTAGCATTCGTCTGATTTCGTATTCTGTCTTACCTTGAAACTTCTGCAGTTCATTGAAGGAGTAAGTGCCCACGTTTGGCACTGATAGCATAGTTGGCCAAATAATAGTTCTGATAAGATTCACTTTGTTACTCCGGCGACTGACTGACTTTCTACCCCACAAGGACATCACACAATCGATAAACACCCGATGACACAATATGCCACCATGTGAATGAGGATCACCTTGGAGAGGTCCCAGAAACCGCGTTCAGCCATTATGCCATATTTATGGCTTGGCTATATTGTAGCCCCAGGCAAGAGCCAGAGTAGGGCTTCAAATAACGAAAGATTGCATCTCACAAGGAGACCACTGGGTATTACTGACAGTACTCCGGGGTATCTGCTTGTGTGTCAACGGAGGAGGTCGTTGCCCCATTACTTGATTAGCTTTGGCACATCTCGAGTTAATTTTTATGTCCAGTTTTCCGTCGGATGTGAAAATTGCTCCCACATACTTAAATACCTCTGTTTGTCCTAGGTTTTTTTTTTTTAATTATTTCATTTTATTTCTAAATTGTCTTTCTGTCTTCCTATCACCATTGTCTCTGTCTTCGTAGTGTTTATTTTCATATTATATTTCTCCCCTTTGTTACTAATTTGATTTAGGTGGTTCTGTAAGCATTCCGTTCTTTTTTTCTTTGAGTACCTGGTCGTCGGCGAATAGTAATTCTGTAATATCTTTTTCATGATTAAAGCTCGTTTCCTTACACATGGTATCCATGTACGTTATGAAAAAAGAAGTGGCGATAGTACACAGCCCTAAAGCACACCAGAGTTCACTATAAAAGTTCTTGACAATCCTGCCTTCGATTTTATGCAATATTTACTACATGTGTACAGGCTTTTGTAAATATTAATAAGATGATTGCTGATTCCTCCCCCCCCCCACCCCACCCCCACAGATTCCCACATCATATTCATGTCGACTCGATCGGAAGCTTTTAACTGGTTTATGAATGTCAACAAACATGTATTATCGTGTTTTATTGCCCTTTCTGATAGCTGTCTCAATGTATAAATGGCGTCTGTGCAACTTCTATTTCGTCGAAAGCCCATCTGTGCTTCTGAAAGTTGATACTCTATCAATAGTTTTAGCCTTCTTCGATGATCTTAGCATACATTTTCCCAGCGTGACTGAGAAGCTATATTCCTCTGTAATAAGTACAGTCCTTGTTACTTACTTTATTTTTTTTCATAGCGGGACGATGACAGCAGTTTGCCAATCTGAGGGTATTTCTGGATTTTACCATGCCACCTTAAATATTCTCTCTAACCATATTGCTCCCGCTTCTCCTGCGACCTTGATGGCCTTAGTTGGTAGATCATCAATACCTTTCGCCTATAGTTTAGAGGCGGTATAAATGACATATTCTACTTCATCTCTGTGCAATATTAAATAACCAAAAAGTATTATAACCCTGTAACATAACCCTTGACCTGTCAGGGTCGTAGAGGTGTATTTATGGAAGCACTAGCACACAGAACCATCTTTCTTTGTCTTCCGTTTGATGAAAAAAGTGTATGATAATTTAGTCCTGTCCATTTCTTCATGTTATCGTTCTTCGTTGCCCTCCTCTTCTTCGACTTCACTCCACCACCCCACCCCCGTTCCTTGAAGTAGTTGTGCAATCGAATCATGTCTCGCCACTTTCCCAAATCAAGCTAGTTTGCGACGTTTCACAACTGCCAAGAGAGGCTCCTGATGTCTTGAGAAATTTGTATATTTTGTTTCTGACATGACATATTTATTAGTTTTGTGTTCTAAATAACTAATTCTTAAAATGCGTCTTTAGCATTTACATACTCTATATAAGTCAAACAATACTTAATTTCTTCTATGTCATTCTTCGGCCACATTGATACATTAATACATTTGTTCCTTACTGTTATGCTATGTGGTTCTATCACGTGGTTGTAACATTATAACTCCCTGAAACTTGAAGTATGTTAATTTCAACAAAAAGAGGTGCCCGCATTGCATACCGCTAAAGGGAGAAACAAAATCCCTCTGATTCTATCGTTCACAACATTGGGATCGGACAGGTGAAGAAAGAACTGTTTGAAACTGAAAGAGTTAACTTCTTGTATCCACTAATAGTTTTCTGTCTCTTTTTCTAATAACCATAGCCCATTTACTGTTATCTCCAGCAGCAGCAGCAGTAATAATCGCAGAAAACATACTCTGTTCAATCCTGGGGGTCATAATTGGAAGAATATTGTTCACTGATTTCTCGAAAGGTTGTTTAGAGCAAAACGCAACCAAGGACCGCTCCCAACGTGACGTCACAGTTCAGGTCCGATATCAACATTCAGCAGACGTCGTGATGGCAGACAGTCATGTCGTTCATTGCTGTTCTTGTTTTGTATCAATTTTTGTGGATAAAGCAAATTCAAGATGAGTGCCACGCATAAAATTGAACAGGATGTAAATGTGAACTCGGACAGAGCCATCAGGAAAGTGAGTCTGAATTTGTATTGTTTTCTACCTTTTCTTTCTACGTTCTTAGCGACATGTTTAGTGTAAATTACAGCAAGCAACTACAACAAAGTAAAAATGACCAGACTTGTGACAGTTATAATGCGCTCAAAATTGGTGGCAACCCTATTCCGGAACTTCGCTAGACACTGTCCTCCTTTCGGATAGCGTAAAGGGAATAGAAAATGTGATATCGTCTGTCCATAATCACAGTGAAGATCAAAACCTGTTCTTGAATTTAAAGAAAACGAAAATAATGTCCACAGATAAAACTGGTTGTCACCCAAAAATAACAATAAATGATGAAGAAATGGAAAATGTCACAAACTTTGAATATCTAGTCTCTATAATAAAAAGCAGTGGAGATGACAGAAATTAAAATTAGGTTGGCCA